TGGCGTCCGCAGCCCCTGGGGCCTGGCCGGCTCCGGGAGAGGCCCCTCCGCAGAGCTGCCTGCAGCGCGGTTGACATCCTGGGTCCTTTGTGAGGCTCCTCGGCGTCCATCCCGCCAGACCAGCCCCAGCAGGTGTCCTCTCCCGCGGAGCACTGCTCGTCGGTGGGCCATGCGGCGGCGGGAACCTCTCCGTCGCGAGTCCAGGGCCTCCCTTCCCGGATCTGGTCTGGCGGGAGCACACAGCTGGGGTCTGCAGCCCTTGCCAGCACGGGGTCTCCTCCAACCCGCTCTGAGCCCGCACACTTACCAGCTGTGGCCGTAGGCAGGTCACGCACCTTTCTGCGCTTCCTGCCTTTAATCTGTCAAATGAGGACAGTGCTGGCTGTTCTGATGATTAACTGAGCTCATACTACAAAGTACTAGACAGCACCTGGCACAGAGGAGGCACTCAGGCTAGCTAGCTATTGTCATTTTCTCCATTAAAAACAATATTTTAGAGTGTGACAGGAAACTAGCACAAGGATTCTCCAGGATGCGGTTCGTGAAGGGCCAGCCGCCTGGAGCCTGGGCTCAGTGCAGACCCACCTGCAGGGGGAGCTCTGCTGTCTCCTGCGAAAGCCGGTGTCCAGGGAGCCAATTAGTGCCAACTGCTCTGTTGTCCTGGTTGCCATGTCCACTAAGCTTCTCCTGGAAAATGCAGCTACTCTGGGGGCTGTAGATGGACTAAGGAAGGCTCCAGTCCCTCAGCTGGTTGTGGCTGTGCATGTGTGTGTGTGTGTGTGTGTGCACCTTTTAAAAAGAAAAGAGCCCTGGCTGGTTTGGCTCAGTGGATAGAGCATCGGCCTGCGGACTGAAAGATCCCGGGTTCAATTCTGCTCAAGCGCACGTGCCCGGGTTGGGTTGCAGGCTTGATGCCCAGTAAGTGGGGGGTGCAGGAGGCAGCCGATCAATGATGCTCTCCCATCACGGATGTTTCTATCACTCTGTCTCCCTTCCTCTCTGAAATCAATAAAAAATAAAAAATCAATCAATCAATAAAAAGAAAAAAAAACAATGGTTCAAATTTTCTTTTCTCTTGATTCTTTCAGCCCTAATATGAGAAGAGGTTTTCTTTGTCCTCTTTTCACTGAGGTCTGGAGCTCAACGCCCCTTCTAGTGTTTCTAAATCTGTGGGTTGCAATTTAAGCCATCCCCTGGGAGTCTGTGATCTGAAGGCCATGTCACCGGAGCTGGTGGTTAGCCTGTGCTTTTTTGGGGACGCGCACAGCCTCCCTGTAGGACACACTGCAGAGGCTGACGTTAGGGTGGTGTTTGGCGGCGTGGCAGAGCTGCCACAGCGGCGAGGAAAACAACGTGGTCTTGCTCAGCAGCCACACGCAGTAGCCTCGGTCAGGAGCTCAGTCAAATGACGAGAGCGGAAGCCTCGGGTGGGGTCTAGCTGGCAGTGTGTGCAGGGCTGCCCAGCCTCCCAGGCTGCCAGAGTCACTGGCTCTAACTAGCAGTTTACCATAAAGCTGCCTCCTACTCCAGAGCTGAGCCTGGCTTCAGGGATGAGTATTTATAAAATCCAGAAGCAGCCACCTGGGTGCACACAGAGCCCAGCTGTCACTGACCCAGATCCCCAAAGGGCCCTGCTTCCTTAGGGGCCAGAACCCAGCCTGCCTTCTTCCTCTTGTGAAGTGTGATGAACAGCGGAAGTGCTATCCAGAGCCCTGGCCTCCAGGGAGACTCCAAACCACCTCATTCCCCTCCGCCCAGCTGCAGGGGTCTCCTCTCACAGGCTGGAGTGTGCAGCCCAGGAAGGCCCAGTGCACTCTGACTCTTGTATAAGCTTCACCTCCCCACCTTCTTCTTGCTTCAGAGAAACTGCATGAAACGAGAGGTCTTAGGTTCTCTAAAGATTCCCATTTCAACTGAAGAAGTGGTATCCAGACTCAAAACAACTAAGAGTGTAGGGATTCTGTTGGGGCTGCTGGGGAGGGTCTCAGCTCTACTTTGCCTTGGTGGCTCTTTGCTGTCCCTCAGCACTGCAGTAGAGCCACCCCCTCCCCCCGTGCGTGTGCGTGCGTGCATGTGCGTGCGTGTGTTTGAGTGTGTGCACGCGCGTGTGTGTGTGTGCGCGCGCGCGCGCGCCGCGCTCATGCGCAGAAGGGCTGCGGGGACTCCTCCAGCTCAGGACTTGATTGCTGTGAATCGCAATCTGCTTTTACAGTTGAATAACTTTTCTCTGGTTTCAGCGAAGGATGAGAAGGGGAGATGCATTCAGTCCCTGGGGGCTCTTTCCTGTAATCCCTTGTCATGTGATGTAGCTCAGCTGCTTAAGGCACAATGGCAAGTCCTGTGATCCTGTTGGTTCCTCAGCTGGAGGAATCTGTTGGTCTCGCCTGTTTTGACAGCCAGGGGCTGCAGAAAGGGGAGAGCTTAGAACTGGTATTCCCTCCTTTATTGTTCTGCTGATGTCCTTTTAAATAATCAGAATGGGATCTCACACTTAGGGGATCACATTCTCTTTCCTGTGCCTCTCTGTCTGAGGCTGCATGATGGGAGTTTGCTCAGGGTGACATCACCGTGTTCTGTCTTCTGTGAGCCAGTTGTTAGAACCCTGGTAAGGGCGTGGAGGAAATCCAGGTTTCTCTCTCATTGGTAGTTGTTATTGTCGTGGCTGTATTGGCCATCTAAGATTGGGATGCCTTTCACTGCCGGAAACATCTGTCTTCTGAAGTAAGAGAAACCAGAACTCAGTCCCCATCCCGGTGTCGGCTTTAGCTGCTTGAGCAGGAGCCTCTGGCTAGTACGAGTGGGTGACTTTGCCACCCTGTGACCTGGGAATACGGACAACTCTTTCCCAGCCACAGCTGTGATCAGTTCTCTACAGGGCAGGGCCCTGAGGAACGTGGCTGGGGTCCAAACGCACAAACCTGTTGCAACTCCATGTCTGTCTGTGGAGGGTCCTAGCTGATGGGGGGAGGGTGCAGGGGGAGAGGAGGGAGGAGGGTCAGGGCAGTAATCTTCTCTAGGGAGTGATTCTATGAAAGTCTCCCCGTTTTCTTTCTATTTATCTATAGTTTCAATTTGTCTTTCATTAGTCTATTTTATCTTTGACAAAAATAAATTTAACTTTGCAATCATTCTTCAGGGTAGAAATACAGGTATACCTTTTACCAAGAAAATCTCAAATAATATATCAAAACACTTTAGTGATATTTTAGATTTGTTAAGGAGCCCTGAAATCATCTGGTCCAAACTTCTCATTTTACATATGAGGAAACCAACCCAAACATTATCTAAATTTACACAGTACCTGAACCAAGACTAGGGCAGACTGCTGACCTCCCATCCCAAAAGAATTTTCCATAGATTTCTTTATCTCCAGTGAATATAGAATAACTTCATTAACATGCAACTTTTAAGGAATATATTATAAATACTTTCTATAGGAAATCTAAGCAGTGTGATTTAATAAATGCTGAGCAAGAGGATAGAGAAGGAGAGCGAGCCACACAGAATGGTGTCCATCGGTGGGCACATTTGGTAGGATGCGAGGCAGGGCACCTGCTATCCTTCCTCACTGGGTGCCTGGTTCCTTTGAAACAGTGTGGTGAGCGTGCCAATGTGGAATAAGCGATAGGAGTGAGCGAAAGGGGCGGGTGGGGGCCCTCCTTCCCTGGTGCTTCGTTTCTGTCCATCATTGTTCCCAGAGCAGCAGAGCAGCAGGGACCAGAAGACAGGCTTTTTCTGAACAGCAGGAAGCATTTGACTTGCAGGTGTCTGCGTAAAGCTAGTGTACCCGGTGACCAAAGGCTGGGCGTGTGGTCCTCCGGCATTTGGCCAACTGACTTCCAGGGAGACCACAGGCTTTGCGGGGAGAAGCCTGGGAGGGGGAAGAAGAATGCGCTAGGCTGGCCGAGCAGCAGCGAAAGCCCGCGGGGGTTCCGCTAAGCGCATGATCTACATCCCCCTCCAGACGGCCACGCAAGCGGCTCCCCTTCCCCGGAATGACTCGCCGGCATGAGTGAGCCAAGTCAGAAGCAGATCCAAAACCGCTTCTTCAGAGACCTGGATCGCTGCAGGCGTCTCTAGACAAGGCCCCAAACCTCGCCCTTCTCACATCTCTCCCTGAAGCCTGACGGTTGCTTTAAGCGCATGATCTACATCCCCCTCCAGACGGCCACGCAAGCGGCTCCCCTTCCCCGGAATGACTCGCCGGCATGAGTGAGCCAAGTCAGAAGCAGATCCAAAACCGCTTCTTCAGAGACCTGGATCGCTGCAGGCGTCTCTAGACAAGGCCCCAAACCTCGCCCTTCTCACATCTCTCCCTGAAGCCTGACGGTTGCTTCACCCACCCCCACCGCTGGCTGTGGTCCTTGGTGCTGCCTCCCTCCCACGTCGAGCCCTCCAGCTGAGTGCTTTCAGGGGGCGGGGGATCCGTGCGTCTGTGTGGGACGTCAGGGCGGGTGGGATGCGCCTGAAGATTACAGTCGGGGAGAGGCTTTGGCACCACTCCCCCCCTCCCCCCGCTGTGCGCAGAGCACCGCAAACAACCGCTCATTACCCTGCCGCAGCCCCTGCTGGGGACGGAAGGGCTGTTGACTCACCGCCTCCCTGAGCCAGCAAGGCCGAGGGACCTGCCTGTGATGCCAGGGCACAGGGTGCGGTGGCTGAGGGCAGAGGGACAGAGGGACAGACCGGGGGCTGGGGACTGCAGTCCTCATAGGAGGCGTCTGAGACAGAGGTATTTGGGTTTTATTCCATGTATTGGGGGAAGAATGTGCACCTCGTTCTGTTTCTGTTCTGACCTGAGGGTGACCTTGAGCGAGCCTCTGGAGCGGTGGAGGACCGCAGGCTGTGCAGGCGGAGGCGGCCTGGCCCCAGCAGTGCTCTGGCACCAGCAGGCAGGGCTTCCGGCGCCAGCGCCCAGGCCGCTCTGGGTCCTTTGGCTGTGACCTTCACTTAACATGGGGGAGAATATGTCAGCAGGACAGAGGGCCCCTGATGGGGGCAGGGAGGCAAAGTCTCTTTGTCTCCACTTGGAAGCAATAACTTCTGTCTCCCTTCACCTTCTGCCTCTAAGCAAGCAGGGAGCTTACAAAGCCTTGGACTCACGTCAGCACAAAGGCAAAAAGGAATCTTGTGGGCTCGTGTTTAGGATTTTTAGAATTCAGGCTCTTTTTACATTGCCCTGCCCTGGGCTGGGGGCGGGATTCTGAGTGTCTGTTCATCTGGACAGAGCGATTCTGGCAACGCTGCTGTACTGTGTGTGTGACGTGTTTTCATCGCACGGCATCCGAGCTGTTCCGTGCAGAGCAGGGCCCTGCTGCACAGTGGGGTGACGTGCTGCCTCGTCCTATCTGCTGCTGCCAACGCCCGCTGACCCCCCTTTAAAGAGTACCACGGGCTCAGGAGGGGGAAAGCTGGGTGGGTTACCTTTCCCAAGGTTAGTTCTGACTTGCTGCTTGGATCAGAGGGGGTGACACTATCTTGCCTCTCCTGGCGACAGTGGTTGCTGAGGCAACACCATTAAAAATAACGGAGACAGCCCTAACCGGTTTGGGTCAGTGGATAGAGCGCCAGCCTGCGGACTCAAGGGTCCCAGGTTCAATTCTGGTCAAGGGCATGTACCTTGGTTGCAGGCACATACCCAGTGGGGAGTGTGCAGGAGGCAGCTGATCGATGTTTCTCTCTCATTGATGTTTCTAACTCTTTATCCCTCTCCCTTCCTCTCTGTAAAAAAATCAATAAAATATATATATATTTTAAAAATAACGGAGACAAAGAGAGTCGGAAGCACAGCTGGAGGAGCGGCAGGACCAGTGGGCTAGAGTGACGAGTGCCTGTTCACCAGCAGTGGCAACAGGGAAACAACATCTAAATCCTCTGCTCTGACTGTTTGCAGGTGCTTTGCCAAGACAATGCTGACAAACTATCCTGGGCGAGGGGTTGGCAGAACCATCTTTATGATACAAAGGTGAATGGCACAGCTTGGTCGGGAGAGATGGTTTAAGTGCTCCGGAGGGCATTGTGGGTAATTGGGGTTTCTTCTCTTTAAAGCACTCTTTTCTGACCTCCCCGGTGACCTCTAACATGTAAGCCTAATGGAGCTGTGAACCCTTGGGGGCCAGAGAGTAGCTGTGTCGTGGCTCCATGCCAGGTCAGTGATCTCAGGAGAGACTCAGGAAGAGACCTGGCCGGGTGGGCAGAGGAAGAGGGCTGGCCCGTGGGGTTCAGTCGGACACACTTTCCTGCTTAGCGGGCTCTCACAGTTAGCTGACGTGGGAAGGGAAGTAGAGCTGAAGAGAGGGGAGGTGTCTAGAGGGGCTGTGGTGAGAGAAAAGAACGGATGGATTAAGGGAACAGGCTCAGAGTCCAACAGAAGGAAACGGTTAAAGCAAGGAGTAGAGTCAGGGATGTGCTGGCAATAGAGTGTTGGACTTGAAGTCAGAGATCATGGGACTATAGAATGTGCCTCTCTGTCCCCCATGAACCCGCCACATCAGGGTTTGCTCCCACCTCCCTCGCACCTTCTCTTGTCAGTGTCCCATGCTCTCCGCAGCAAGCCCAGTGGTCAGTGCTCAGCCCTCCTTGCAGCACAGGCCTGCTGGTGGGGCCTGCAGGTGGGGCAGCCCTCCTTCTCCTGGACGTGTCTGCTTCTCGTGGTTTCTGAGCTGCTGCAGTCTCCTGGCTTTCCTCCCACCTGACGTCTTTTCCATTTTCTTTATTGATTTTTCCTCATTTCTGTAACCTCTAATCACTAAATACTCCAGGACTTGACCCTTTTCTCTTCTCTATCTGCTCTATTTGAACTCACCCCGGGTGGTTCATCCAACCTCCTGGCTTTAAACGCCATCCACATGTGAATTGCTGCTCATTTCTCTCTGCAGGGCAGACGCTTCTCTCTACCTCGTCTCCAATACCCAGCTGCTTATAACAGCCTCTCCTCTTGGATAGTTAATGGGCATCTCAGATTGTCCAAGAGAAGCTCCTGACCCTCTCAGTCTCCTCCTGGGGCTCCTCCATCTTGGGAAATGGCAACTCCATTTTTTAAAGTTCCTCAGGCCAAATGACATTCTTTGGATGTCATCCTTGACTCCTCTCTCGCAATGTCTCTTATCCAATCAATTAATCAACCAATTACATTGCTCATAGCTTGAAAAGATACCCAGAATCAAACCACGGCTCATCACCTCCAGTGCCACCGCGCTGACCCAGGCTGGTCACCCTGCCTAGTTTTCTGCTTCCTCTCCTGGGCCCCTTTTATGCCAACTGCATGCATCCCCTCTCACTTGTAGTGAAAGTAAACTCCTTAGAAAGACTCGTAATGTCCTATGTAACTGTCCAACCCCTTCCCCCCTCTCCCCCCATTTATCTCTGCTCATCTCCATACCCCTTTCCTCCTTCCTCTCTCCACTCCAGCTGCATCCCTCACACAGGCTAGTCACCCCCTCCCCCACCCCCAGGCCCCTGAGAGCTCTTGCCTGGACACCACACCCTGACTCCTCTCCTTCAGCCCTTGCTGGCCCGCCGGCTCTCAGGCGCTGCCTGAGCACTTGGTGTGGAGCCGTAGTTCCCCACGACCACCCGAACCCCTACCTCCCTTCCTTGCCTTTCTCTGTAGCACTTAGCACCACTGACATAATACCTGTGTTGTTTGTTTTTATTAATTTTAGGGAGAGAGAAACATTGATGTGAGAAACATCCCATCAATCAGTGCCTCCCAATTGCACCCCAACTGGGGATCACCGTAACCTGGGCATGAGCCCTGACCAGGAATCAAACCTGTGACCTTTCGGTGCGCAGGATGACCTCCAACCAGCTGAGCCGCCCGGCCAGGGGCCGTTTTATTTATTTATTTACTTATTTTTAAATATATTTTATTGATTTTTTACAGAGAGGAAGGGAGAGGGATAGAGAGTTAGAAACATTGATGAGAAAGAAACATTGACCAGTTGCCTCCTGCACACCTCCTACTGGGGATGTGCCCGCAACCAAGGTACATGCCCTTGACCAGAATCGAACCTGGGACCCTTCAGTTCACAGGCCGACACTCTATCCACCAAGCCAAACCAGTTTTGGCCTGTTTTATTTATTAATCTTTACACTAGAACAGTGATGGCGAACCTTTTGAGCTTGGCGTGTCAGCATTTTGAAAAACCCTAACTTAACTCTGGTGCCGTGTCACATATAGAAATTTTTTGATATTTGCAACCATAGTAAAACAAAGACATATTTTTGATATTTATTTTATATATTTAAATGCCATTTAACAAAGAAAAATCAACCAAAAAAATGAGTTCTTGTGTCACCTCTGACACGCATGTCATAGGTTCGCCATCACTGCACTAGAATGTAAACTTCACGAGGGCGAGGTTTTTGCTTTGTCCTCTGCAATTTCCCTGGCACCAGTAAACACCTGTTGAATGGATTCTGATGACTTTCTACCTCTCTGATCTCAATACCCACTTTTTCAAAAGACTAGGGAATGCGCCTCGTAATAGGAGGGCTGGGACGTGATGAGGGTGAGTCTGAAGGGGTTGGTACCATAATACTGCCATGAATGTCTAATATTCTGATTTTTCTTTCCCAGCTTAACACCAAAACATCCCCAGCAGCCAACCAGGCACCTGGCCCAGAGGAAAAGGGTGAGTGGGCTTGGGCTGGGCAGGTCACAGAGCAGGTGAGTGACACCTGGACATGAAGACAGGCAGGGCTCTAAGTCTGGAGCCCCTGAACGCAGATAAGGGAACAAAGCACTGGGTTAGAACTACTGTCTCTATAGGCTTCCTGCCACGTTTCCCCAAGAGGTACACCTCCCAATGTTTACTCTCTGGTTTTAGAAACTGGCTCTGGAGTGGTTGGAGACAGGCCCAAGACAGGAAAGAACTAATCAATAATCCAGCCACGGTCTTCATTGGAAGCTGAGGGACAGCTGGGGAACATGATGAGCTCTGGGGTTGGACTGTAGGTTCGGGAACAGGTGGTGAGAGGCACCTGTGGTCTTGGTGCAGGTGCAGCGGAGCTCCCCGGAGCCTGGGTTCCTGCCTCTGGCTCCAGGCGACACTGGGCTTTCCGAGGGCTCGCGGAGGCCACAGGGGTGGGCTTGACCTCGGCATTTGGGGCCTGGAGGAGGGCTGGGCTGTGCAGGGTTACTCACGCGGGAATCTCACCACCTGCAGGGGAAGCTGGCAATGCCAAGAAGGCCGAGGGGGGGGAGGAGGAGGTGGACATCGACCTGACAGCGCCGGAGACAGAGAAGGCTGCCCTGGCCATTCAGGGCAAGTTCCGGCGATTCCAGAAGAGGAAAAAGGACCCCAGCTCCTGAGTGCCAGCCCCGCCCGCCCCACTCCACACTCCGCAGCTCTGGCTTCCATGCGCCTTGTCTCTGTCCCTCTATCCCGGGTGGGACCGTCTGGCCCTCGGGCCGTACGAGGTCCACAAAATCATTTATTTGGTCTGGCCCTGCCAAGGCATTAGGGGTGAGTTAATTAAATGTTTGATCAAATATAGCAGGCTAATTTTTAAGTTGATAGTTTTGGGTGGCTTGTGAATGATGCTTTAAATATCCAAATGGCCCTGGGCAGAAAGAAGGTTCCTCACCCCTGCTAGCCCCTCATTCAGGCAAGTTTGACCCTTATCTGCTATTTTCTGTGGCCCCTCAAGTCATCACAGCAGCAGAGCATGAGGAACATAGGACAGGGGAAGAATTCAGCTGGCAGCCACTTGCCTGAGGGTGGGCCAGCTTCTCCTTGGGCTAAGCCTCCTTAACCAGTTCCTCTGCCCCGTGAGGTTGAAGTAGAAGAGGCTTTGAGGCTGAGGGCCCCTCCCCCGTACAGTGTGGGAGGGAGGGGAAGTCTTCAGAGTCGGGTGCCTGGGGGGGATATGCACTGCCTGCCTGTCCTTACAACAGTCCCACTTCAGGTAACATTCCCTCACACCCTCTGCACTGCCACCTCCACTTCCTGCTGCGCCAAGCCGCGGAGCCCCTGGAGACCCGCGACAGCAGCTTTCACATCAGTGCCTGCTGAGTAGATGAGTCCCAGGAACGCAGGGGGACTGGGCCAGGCAAAGGGTGTTGCCTTCACCATCAAGGCTGGGGCAGGGCAGAGGCAGGGGCGTGGGAGCTGGGGTAGACTGGGGAGGAAGGACAGTGAGAGGGATCTCTGAGGACACAGGCTGCTGCCAGGGAGACTGCCTGCCCCTAACCCCACATCTAGCCTCCCCAGAGGCCACGCAGACCAGGTGACCCCTGGAGCTCCTGCCTGCCCCACTGTGGAGTCGGGACAGAAGGGAATAGCCACTCGGTGAGGTTTTAGCTGTTTCACAATTACAGAAACAACAATAACCCTCCAGTGGAGTCGTTTAACCTCTACTTCTGATTTTTCTTGGGAGGAGGGTGAGTGCTGGCCCCAGGGAGGGCAGGTGCCGAGCACTTTCTCCGCCCCGACCTGCCCACACCCTGCTTCACGCCCACACTGCTGCCTCCACCCCGGGCCTGCTGCTCCCTTCCCTTCCCCTCCAGCCAAGGGCACACCCCGTCATCTTGCTCCCTGTCCCACGTGACCTGTCCTAGCTGTTCCTGCTGCTTTGCCTCCCCCGCCACACACACACACACACACACAACTGTTAAGCAAATGTGGTGGAAGAAGATGACTGGGCCACACTGAAGACTTTAAACCATGAATTAAATAAAATGATGGCTTTCAAATGAGTTTACATTGTTGAGACTTGAGCTTCGTACCTGGAAACCAGAGCCAAACGCAGGAAGTGAAACCACTTAACAGCTGTGAGCAGGGAGCCAGGCAGGCTGTGCCTCCAAGCCCAGGCATGGGAGGATGGAGCTAAGGCACAGGGAGGCCCCTGTTACTGCGCCTGCTCCTGTCCCCTTGGTCCCTGGAGGGGCGGGGAGAGCAGGGCTCCGGCGGGGAGAGCAGGGCTCCTGTGGGGACGAGTCTCGGGTGGGGCTCTGGGCTGGCGGAAGGCAGCGGGGGTCTGTCACCAGCCCCTCCGCAGGCTGGTGGGGAAATGATTGCTTCCCTTTCCTGTTACACTTGCCCCCATACGCATGTTAGGGACACGGTGTGGCCGCGAACACAGGCTCAGTGTGGGGAGAGCGTTCTGACCTGAGAGAGGGCTGGGCCTCCTTTGCAGAGCCCGCGGCCACGCTCAGCAGGTCCTGAAACCCGCTTCTCCGCCCGCTGCTCATTTCTGCCACCTCTGCGCCCGCAACTCCTGGGCCCTGGAACCCCTTTTCTCTCCTGTCCCCCCAGTTCCTACCGCTGGAGACACGATCCTGAATACCAATCGCCAGGACTTGCTCGAGCGCCTTATTCTGTGAGCAAAACCTGCTACTACCGGTCAGCAGAAGAGACGGTGCTGGAAAGTCCCGGCGAAAGCACTGGCGGTACCACCCTGTCACTCTGATCTCCTTCTGCGGTTTTCCGCTGACGCGGGGGCGGAGCTGGGTGTGCAGCCCTGAGGAGCAGGGGTGCTGGGGTACGTTCTCAAGCCCAAACTGGGAGAGGATCTTGGCAGTAAGTCAGGCCCCTGACGGGACAAGGATCCTGCTTCCCTGACAGCCTACTGCCAGGACCTGGGTCGTTGCCCTCTCCTCCATCCGGCCCCAACAGTCAGCTTTCCCACGGGTCTCTTCCATCTCTCATTCCTGCCTTCAGTCCTTGCAGGGCGCTCCCTTCGGCGCCTCTGCCCCTCTCTCTGGCCCTCTCCCCTGGCTGCATTTCCATCATTTCCGGAGCTGTTTGCAGTGCGGTGGCCTCTGCAGCTCCGGTCTTCCCTGGGATCACTCCAGTGAGCTGCTGCCACCCCTTCCCCATCTTCTCTCCAAGCGGGTGTGCACACAGCATGCGCCCACTCCCCTGGGTGGTGGTGAAGGCTGGCATGTGCCTCGTGAGCCACTTCAGAGTGCCCTTCCCTGCGCTGTGTGAGCCGCACCAGCAACCAAGTTCTTCA